AATTAATTGGAGATTATAGTGCTTGTTTGACACCTATCAATTCACTAATGTCCAATAAACATAGCACCAATAACGTGAAACATGAGTGACAAAATAAATAAATCAATAAGAACAAAATAGGCTCTTCTACGTACTTCCTCCTAAGTTTGGGAGATGTCCATATCCATGAGTTGTTTAATAATGGCTGTGTGTACTAACATAGAAGAAAAATAGCACTAGAGTTGTTCATATAATCTGCTGCAACTTTTCCATTGCCCAAAAAACTGTTGTAAATAGTAAATACTGATGTAATAATCTCGACAAATTTATTTCTGAATCACAATATAAGAAGATGCATATGTGTCTACAACAATAAATTCGGTAAAGCATGACTGACACAAGCCTCCTCAATCAGGACTTCCTTTCTTTGTATGTAGTTTGTTTGTAACACATTACCAATTACAACCTCTCTCACTGTCATACACAACAAACATGATACATGCACATCTCACACATTTTGATTCTTGTTAACCTACACTTGATGAATCTTTCATGAAGCTCCACCGCATAATCGTACGGTTTTCACTGAAGCTTAAGAGCCTCCATAGGCTTCCCCATGAGGGACAAAACCGTCCCACAAATATGCCTTGCCGACAAACCAGCTGCTTCAATCTGATCATTTGGTGCCCCGTGCTCTATGTACCTATCCGGAAGCACCATCGACCTCAACTGCATTTTTTAAAACCAATACCACAAACACATCAAAAACCCGACGAAAAAATAAAAATAAAATAAAAATAAATAAATAAATAGGAAAATCGATAATATAGTAGAATGTTCATCATGCATCATCACCTTGAGGGGTCCGTCCAGAAAGCCGTTGAGGCACAGAAAATGCGAGACGTGGGACCCAAACCCTCCAATCGAGCCTTCCTCTACAGTTATCAATATCTCGTGCTCTTTCGCCAGTTGTCTAATGAGATCACTATCCAACGGCTTGCAGAACCTCGCGTCGGCCACCGTGGCCGATATATTACGTGACTTCAGCATTTCTGCAGCCCCCAAACACTGCTGGACTATGGCTCCGTACCCGAGAATCGCCACTTTGCTGCCTTCTAACAACACTCTTCCTTTTCCAACCTGTCATTTTTTACAATTAGAATAAAAAAAAAATTGTAAGAAAGGGGGGAAAAATGGGTGCGGTCCCACGCACGTGAAGCGCACCATAACATGGAAAGCCCAGATGAAGCTCAAGTATGGTTCAATCCCAAAACCAATTGGTGGAAAGAGGAGTAGCCCATTAGACTTATAAATTAGGCCTATTTTTCCTCTATAAACGATGTGGGACAACTCACAAGTGAATATTCTAATAAGAATTTTTAGCTAATTATGTTATATATGAATTGCCTTACTTCAAGTGGAACTCCTTTGTTATTAGGCGGAAGGACGGCCCCCGCACCATTGCCCCTCGGGAACCGGAAGCAACTCGGACGGTCGTCTATGGCAGCTGCAGTGGCCACCATGTGCATGAGCTCAGCCTCGTCCGCTGGAGCCATCACCACCATATTCGGCAAGCATGCCATGTACGTCACATCAAACGCCCCACAATGGGTCGGCCCATCTGCACCCACTAACCCGGATCGATCCATCGCGAACCGGACAGGCAAACTCTGAAGATCCACATCATGCACCACCTATACCACAAACCATACACATTTCACCACCATTTTTTTTTAAAATCACATTTGGTTTAATTGCAAAATATAGCCAGTATCTTGTACGCGGTGGCCAATATTAGCCAACAACTTTCAAAATTTTGGGGTTATCACCTATGTCCGACCAAATTCGATGGCTATTGTTGCCACTGAGTAAAGATGTTGCAATTTATCTGTCGAATTTGGTTGGATTTGGGTAATAATCTCGAAATTTTGAAAGTTAAATATTGCCAAGTCGTAAAGATGGTGGCTAGTATTGCCACTGCGTACTGACTATATTTTACAATTTAGCCATCACATTTTGTCGGTTTTCGGTTAATTGCTCACTTGATCATATCCTCTTTGGAGGAAAGAGGAATAGATGGCGCAGAAGGGCTTGAGACCCTCGCAGGCCAAGCCAGCTGCAAACGTGACCGCGTGCTGCTCGGCTATGCCAACGTCAAAACATCGCTCGGGAAAACGCTTTTGGAAATAGTTGAGACCCGTCCCCCCACCCATGGCCGCGTGGATGGCCACGACCTTGCTGTCGGCTTCCGCTTCTTTGATGAGTGACTCCGCAAAATACTGAGTGTACGAAAGCGTGGCCGACTTGGCCTTCATTTGCTTTCCAGTGCTCGGATCAAAC